CTTTCTTCTTTTTTTCAGCATGGAATAAACCTATTACTTGTTCCTTTGCAGCCTATGCATGCTGACGCAGCTACCCACCTGAACTACTGAATACTATAGTTGAATATAATAGTTGAATACTAATATAAAATGTATTTGCAACATACTCTATACAGGTATGTTTTCAATAAAACAGATTATATGGATTTTGGTTATTCATTATTGTTTTGACCGATCATGATACACTCTACTATTATAGACTTACATACATTCAAAATCACCTTACTACTGAGATTGCTCATTGGGTAGAAGTAATAGGGTTACATAACCTTTTCAATTTCAAGCTTTGTGAAAATAAAGTGAGAAAATCACAGAATCGAACAGTTACAGTATGCCACTGATATCTTGGAGGTTGGATTAAATTTAAAAAGAAACTTAACTCTCTGTAGAGTGCAATGCTCTTTCAAGATGATTGAATATCTTGAATATCTAGTGAAGACCATCTGTTACATTCCACAGCCCTCCTCTAGAAGGTGCTCCTACCCTTTTCTGTTATGATTAGGTTCTATTATTTCCTGGTGTGTCTTGTTTGTGTTTTGGTTAAAAGCTTAGCGTCTCCTGTTCCTGGCTGAGCATTGGGAGAGGGACACTCGGAAGCTCACCTACCAGCGGGTCCAGGAGTGACCGGATGGCATAGGCTTCACCCCGGTGTTCTGACCTTCTGAGTCCGGGGCTCAGAGCGCCTGGTCCCGTTAAGGTTTAAGTTCTGTGTTCCTGGTCTCGGTTCCCCTTCCCGGAGATTTTAGCTGTCTTCATCCTGGATGGATCTCCCAGCCTTTGGACAATAGACTGCACCCTGATAACCCCTTTTTGGACCCCTTTGGACTTGATCGCCTTCCTGCTGTCTGTAAACATGTTCTGACCCTGCTGTATCTTCCCCTGATGTCCTTCTCCAGACTCTTCTTGATTATACTGTCACGCATAGGGTCTTTAACTATGCACTACAGGGGAGTCAGAACCGGCTCCCATGACACCATCTTGATGAAAATCAATGTGTGGCATATGTGTGCAGAAAGAAATCCTAATGTTCTGTCAAAAAGCCTGTTGATGAAAAGGTCTAAGTAGAATGGTATTGGAGCATGTTGTATTTGCTAAAAAGCTCCATCTGTAAAGATTGATGGAAGCCTAACTAATCTAGTCAACCTAAACTAACTGCTTAACTGATCAAGTTCTGTTAATATCTAATAACAAATTATTAGTATAATAATAATTTAATCAATATAGCACCTTTAAATGTATCTTCTCATGGCTCTTCACAGGAAAAGTTTTAAAAAATGTTATTATAACAATCTACATAATTAGTACAAAGGAACAGAAGGGTTCAGAATGCAGTAGAAGATGCAAATGGGCAGGGACAGACATTAGTTAAATAAAAGCATTTCCGAAGAAGAAGGTTTCAAGTGTGGATTGGAAAGTGCTCAGAGAAGGTAACTCTTTTTTATGCTCGGGGTTAGAATTCCTGTGTTTTGGGACATAGTAGCAAAGAAGGCACTGTCACCCTTAGTATGTAGACTAGCTTGGGGAGAAACAAGAGATCAGAGGAAGATAATAAGTCAGACATGTACAGTACCTTGTCTTACACACATGCAAGTGATCACATAAATTCTATCCTGAAGTCCTGGCACTGGCTTCCTATCAGGTTTGGCGTTAAATTCAGATTCCACATGCTCACTTATAAGGCAATAAATGGCTTGACACCACACTTGTTTTAATAGGTCAGATGTTTTCCATCACTGAAATCGTCTGTTGAAGTCCTCCAGTGGTATTTAAATTATTTAATTCAGTTCTAATTCATACTGTGTCTACAACTAAAAAGGAACTAACAGACATGATAGCCTAACAGTATGAGAACACATGGAGTTAAGTAAATGTTCTCCTTATATTCGTGTAGGTTTCCACATAGTGCTCCACTTCCCCCACACAGTCCAAAGACATACAGAACTGGTAGGTTAAGTGGCTTCTGGGAAAACTAACCTAGGTGTGAGTTTGTATATTTTTGTATGTGTTTACCCTGCAATAGACTGGAGTCCTGTCCAGGGTGTAACCTCCTTTCCTCTCATTAATGGCACACCCCTTAACCTGAACTGGATAGATTGATTAGACAATGGATGGGTGGATGGTTTGAAAATCAATTGTTAGCAGACAATTATAGGGAAAGAGTCTGTAACTTTTAAGGATGGCATAAAGCCTTTGAGCAAAAAAAATGTACAAAGTAACTAATTCTTTGATAACCGAATACAGATATCTATTATGCTGGCTGTCCAGTTCATGCTTAACATCACACTAAAACAAATACATTTTGTGTGCCGTTTGCCTAAAACAGTAATTATTTAAATATATGGACCCCATCAGATTTATCTGAATAAATTCACGTAACAACATTTTGAAACTTGTAACATTCTTCAACTTGTAAGATTCAAAAAGATTCTGCACATTTATTTCTAGTGTTAGTTTCCAGTGTTAAATGTGTCCAAACCATAATATACTGTATGTTACTAAACCAGGTACAAAAAATATGTCTACTAAGGCAAAGGGATGTTTTAAATGCTTTTCACCTCCCATGTGTGGATGTATTCCTGAAAATAGCAGCTATAATACACACATATGATAAACTAATCAATGTTAGTGGCAAAAAAACTTAAATAACAGTATAAATGCTGTCTATAGATTTACTTCTGCTGTCACTGCTACAGGATTCTATGAATACTGGTGCATGATCACATAAATAACTCTTAAATGAGAGTAACATGTTAGCAGAATTACAGGTGTGTTACATGAAGGATGAGAAAATGATTGAATCTGAAAAATGTAAGTAAAATATATAACTATATAGAGGAATAATGTATACAAATGGCTACAACTATATAAGATGTGAAGAGATTTAAAATACCAACCCAGCCATGAAGGTAGATTTTTTGGCTGTGGTAAGACACATAAGACATCATATGCATGTTGACAGTGTTCTAAGAATCATCATTAAGTAGGAACCTCCACTGTCTTAGTGTGATATTATACCATTAAGATAATGTATGAAGTTAAATAATCTTTTACAGGGCAGCCCCAAACTATATATAAATCTGGACCAATCACACTGGAGTATTGATGTAGCAGAGAAGATTGGAAGTAATGTTGATCTGTAGCCCTCTGCATGGTATTGTAGAAAATCCTTACAGGTAGTTCACTTGAGTACTGGCAGGTTCATGCTTGCTTATCATTTGAGACCCAATGAGATAACCTATCATTTTTAACAGGGCAATACAACCAACAGCCCCACATAAATGTTTCGATACAGCATGTGCAGAGTTTCTAGGACAAAAATGGGTGCACAGCATCCTTTGGGTTGAATTAACCTCTTTAACATGTATACTTTTATACAGTAAATAGACATTATTTGATCCTGCTTGGAAGTGAGTTGTGACAAATGATTTTGGAACCTTGTAGTTACTGGAAGAGGACTACAGGGCTTTTGTCCATAGCTGAGGTATTGAATGTCAAAATATAAGATTTTATATTCTCATTAACGAATTAGTTTTAAATGCAGAATTTGGAAATAAATAAATCCCAACATGGATTTCTAGTGGACATTAAGGCAGAGATCTTTTAAAAACTGTACCAATCTCCATGTTATTTTCCTGAAACAGAAAACATTGACCTACTGTAACCTTCTATTATAATTACCGAATACAGTTTTCTTATCTAAGAACTTAAGGTAATCATAGTCAAATGATCCTTTAAACTTATGAACCTGATAAAGTCATTTCTCACTTCTCCATTGCATCTCTGACGTGGAACTGCTGGTGCATAATGGCAGCCGTGTGGTAGTGTGTGACCCTAGTGGGTATTACATTGAACCTTCCTTAAGAAATGTGTTCTGGGATTCTTTGGAATGAGGTACAAATGCAACTATAATTTTATTTTTCTTTGTATTATTATTATCCATCCATTGCTAAGTGCTTTATCCAATACAGGGTCATGAGGAAGGAGGAATCAGTCCTGGCATGCAATGGGAACTGGGCATGATACACCCTGGATGAGGCGCCAATCCACAGCACAGAGACAAAAAAACACACATACTGTACTCACACCAAAACTAATTTTTCCAAACATCCATTAACCTACTGTATCTGTCGCTCTCTGAATTGTGGGAGGAAACTGGACCCAGCACCCAGAGGAAACACACACAGACTCAGGATGAACATTCAAATTCCACACAATAAGTATATCACCCCAGAATTTGAACCTAAGGCTCCAGTGCTGGGAGGCACCAACACTAACCACTGCAACACAGTGAAAAACCTGTTATTATTACAACAGTGTGTAAAAGCCTATTGTTTCATTAGAGCACACAAACAATTAAATTGGTCAGAAACTTTAAAGAAGTCCCTGTGAAAAACTACTTTAATATTTATAGAAAAAAATGAGTTACAGATCAGAGCCTACAGTCCATACAACTGTGTGAAATGTTGCTTTTTCATGCATTTCGCATTTTAAACTACTGCCACTGCATACATGGTTAGAACATGTTCACTGCTTGTTCTTGAAGTTAGTAAATAATTCAAGGTAATTTTGTAATGCAATTTTAAATTAATAGAGTAAAAAAAGTATACATTCACTAAAATTATATTTCATTAAAAAAAGAATTAATTAAAAATTAAAGCTCAAACGTCTGTTTTTAAAAGTTAAAGTTAAAATCCAGTCTCTGAAAAGCATTAGTAAAACTACAAATGAAACAGAAATATTCAATATAAAGTTTGGAAAAAATAAAGGTTAAAATATTTTTATATAATTGCTCTAAAAATGAAAAATGTCAAGATTTACATGGTTATTTTGTGATTAAACTGACATTTTGTTCTATACTCCAAACTTTTTATGGCATCATAACACTGAGGTTTAAATATCTTTATGTATTACAGAGATAAACACTCACACTTCCAGACTACCTACAGTAGTATACTAATGATTTAGGTTGCCTTCTGCAACCTCATGAACTTCTTAATTTGATCCAGTACCTCCTTAGTTTTTAAGGTGTATATGATGGGATTCAGAAGAGGAGGCAGGGTTGCTGACAAAGATGTATTGAGGATTCTGCTGTCAGTATTCACCAGCATGTTTGACCATGAAATCAAAAATGTTACTAAAAGAGGTATAAAATATATGGCCACTAAGGCTAAGTGAGTTGTGCAAGTTTTAAATGCTTTCCACCTCCCCTGTATAGATGCAATCCTGGAAAGAGCAGCTATAATGCACATATAGGATATACTAATGAAAGACAGTGGCACAATATAGAAAGTAACAGTATAAACACTGGCTATAGTCCTATTTGCACTGTTGTCACTACAGGCCTCTTTGAACACTGGACCATGATCACAGAAGTAACTCTGAATTTGCTGAATGTTTTTACAATATGATAACCGTGTTATAAAAAACACTGATATAACATTGCTTGCAAAAACAAATACCCAGCAGAAACCAATTATAAAAAACATCCTGCTGTTTGTGTTCATTGTGCTGCTTCTCAGTGGAAAACAAATAGAGACGAGTCTTTCGTAGCCCATAACAACAAGGGCAAGAGATTCCAAGGTATGCAGAAAATGAACAAAGAACATCTGAGTTAAACATGTCTCATATAGCACAAATCTTGAGCCAAAAAGAAACTGATCTATACATTTTGGAATAAGACCTGTGCTAATGCTCACGTCTACTAAAGACAAATTAAAAACGGCTATGTACTTTGGTGTATGGAGACACTCTGAGAGCCATATAATAGACATTAGGAAGAAGTTGGCTGCCAGGGTTCCTATGTAAATGAAAGCCAGGAATATGAAATAATATTCACTGTGCTGCAGATTCTGAAATCCAGTGATCAGAAACCCCACAGGTCTGGCAAATGTTGAGTTTTTCTCCATTGTTGGCAACATCTGAAAGAGTGCTTCAGTAGCTCCCTTTTCACTTTTTCCAAATCCTAAAAATAAAAGGGGAATGAAAATTAAAAGGCTATGATAATACTGTAGTATACTCTACACATTACTCTATGTATGCCAGTAACAGTACAGTCCATCTGCACATCAATATGCACCCTGTTTCAGTTTCATTTGCCAGTTGTCTAGATTTGACTAGACCAGAATTAAAGGAATATAATAGGTGACCATATCATTGTTTATATCTCTCAATATATCTCAATATTGCTATTTTTCTTAAAAGAGGTACGATAACTGCTCTTTATGAAACACAGTATTTGATACATTCTCTCAATTTTACACTTTTTAGATGTGCTAAAATGTTCTTTAATAATAAAAATATAAAATGAGTATCATATGTTCTATTTCAAATTCTTTGGCATAATCTCAGTTGTTTCACTTACTAAGCAATATGTTAATTTTTACCTGACCGTAAGATGATGGAGGTATTCTTTCTCTGTGCTGTCTCAGTTTAAGCCTCTTACCCTTTGCCATCCTTTTATGTAGTTGTGATCACCCTCTCCTCACGTGGTATTGCAAATCCTGTGTTTTTGTGTGTTTGCTCTTGTGTTATTGAGAAAGAGCTGCTGAATAATATTTGTATTATTATGTGATCTGTAAACTAGACCCTGAGCAGTCCCATTCTCTTGTGAATTCTCCCAAGAAAATGAATAGGGAAATAATACTGTTTTCTCTTAGTTAAAAAAAGGAAGATTTACCAAAGTTCAAGAAGGTAGATTGCTGTGTGAAATAATGTTTTTGTTAAGTTTGTTAAGATTTTTATGATATTACTCTATGACCTTTATACAAGTTCTTTTGACTCATATTATGAATTTCTATAGCAATTAGAGCATTTGCTTTTGATTTACAATGTTCTTTCTTAATTTTGAGTTATTCATTGTATGCTTAAAAATATTTTTATACAAGTATGTGTTTGATAAAATGGAATGTGTAGATTTTTAATATTCATGAGTGTTAGACCATGATAGACTGTAGTAACACAGACTGTTGCATACAGTCAGTTCAAAAACACCTCATTACTGAGGTAGTTAATTCTGCACTGGTAATGAAGTGATATGATTTGTCAATTTCAAGCTTTCTGAAAATTTAAAAAGAAAAACACAGAATGGATCCAATTATAGTGTACCACTTGTATGTTATAGATTAGATTACATGAATGAACTTTCAATCCTTGTAGAGTACAATCCTCTTTAATGATGAACGAATATCTTGTGTAGACAACCCTGATAGATGTCAGTATGTGTGGCACAGACATATAGAAACATATGGTAACAGTTGTGTACAAATGTCCAGTTGATGGGAAGATCCCAAAAAGAATGGTCTTGCAAGATGCTCTATTTGCTAAAAATCACCACTTGTAAAGGTCAATGGCAACATGACTGCATTATATTTAACAAATCAAGTCCTGTGACTTCAATTGCTGTCACTTTTGTGGGCTAATCTATTTAAAAAGGCTCTGGCCAAATTGAGAGAATTATTGAATCTGAACAATGTAAATAAACTATCTGGGCCAGTTTCACTCAGAGTACCTCTGTAGCAGGTAAGGTTGGAAGTCCTTTACATCTGCAGCCCTCTTCATGGTATTGTATAAAATCCTTAAAGGTTGTTTATTTACAGTAAGTACTGGCAGGCTCAGCTTCTTTAATCATCTGAGAATCAGTGAGATAATTAATCTTCTTTGTCTAGGCAATACACCCAACCTAAAGAAACATCCAATTGTTTGGAAACAGCAAATGCAGAGATTCAGGGAGTGAGAAAAATATTTTTAGAAGGAGATTAATGTGCAGATGAAGGAACGGTGCTAGACCTTCAACCAGTCTATCTTTACATGACTTAATTTTGCTGAAAATGCCAAATATTTACATAAAGCATCCTCCAATGTTATTTCAGCTCTTTAAAATGTATATTTTCCTGAATAGACTTTAATTAATTCCGCTGGATAATGCATTATGACAAATACTTTGGATGCACGTAATTAAGATGAAAAGAACACAGGGCTTTTGTACAGTATGTAGGGACAAGCCCTATTCTTTAACTTAAGAATTAAGTATATTAAGGATTTCTCATAATCTCTGTGTCCCTTAACAATGCAGCCCCATATCTCTTCCTAAATGCACAGGAATCTGTTAAGAGACATTGTAAAACTGTATCAAGTTACTGTGTATACAGTATTTAATGTTACTGTATATAGCGCAGATGGGCTCCAGTCAGTCTCCAGACTGGTTTATTCCAAAAAAACACTATCCATCTTGCAAAGGAAGATCCACCAATAAGTGATCTAAATGATGGGTACCACAACCAAACCTGCATCTTGGCCAGTCACCAACTGGTGATGTTGTCCCATATAAACTGTAACAGAAGTCCTTTTTCTCCAGCTATAGCATTTTGTTTACCTTGTGAACTTCAAGAAGACAAGCTGTGCATAATCCAGAACCAGCAAGATGCTACTTTTTTAAAATACTAGAGCTGCTCGAGTCCAACACAGGCTGCTAGGCAAAGCAAGGCAAAAGCTTTTTCTCTTTCCTGCATCGGGACCCTCCCAGTACCAAGAAACCCAGCTCTGTTTTTACCAGAGCAAGGTTAAGATCGTCTAGAACATTTGGTTTACAGATTGTTGAGTATTGCTTCAATAATCACATCATAATTCTAGAGAGCCAAAGTATTATTATTATTATTATTATTATTATTATTATTATTGCAAAAGCATGTTTGATGTTTAGTTCACAATACTAAGTGGATGTTTACTTGTGTCTGAGAATAAAAATGTGATTTAGTTATAAGAGACTGATAAAACATATGAGCTAGACTTTAACACATGATAGTAGATGCATATTTTACTCTAAAGTTATTAACACCGTTCTTTCTTATTCCTGAGTGAACGATCAGCATTCGTGTTCACAGACGATTGTATAACAGATATATATTCTATTATGTTTTTGTTTGTTATACATGTTTTGGTAACATCAATAAATTGTATATATTGTATTTAGAATCTGTATGAGAGAATGGATATTATTGTTTGATTGGTTCCTAAAACTAATCAAGTACTCTCTCAATTTCCTGTTATAAGTTCTGATTGTAACAACAAACTAAAACCCCCAACCTTCTACATGCAAATACTACAAGCAAATTATTGAATATTAACATATATGAGTTTGTTTTCTCATGAATTAGTCTTAAGTACACAATTTAGAAATTAAAAATGATTAAGGCAGAGATCCTGTCCATAAAACTCTATACATTATTTTCCTATTACTAGAGTAATACACTATTTTAGCAAAGCTGCTAAAAAATGGCAGTGATGTGATGCCAGTATACAGTATGTGACACACATAACTTCTGAGTTTTCTCCTACATGAAAAGTGCTTCTTCTTATTATTATTTTTTAATTGTTTTTTTTTGTAGCATGGGCGTACACAGAAACAAACACGCACATACTTACACCAGGGCTGGTTTTTCCTAGAGAACAATTGTGAAAGGAAACCAGAGAAATGCTTACCACAGCAGCATCATGCCACACTTATTATTTTTAATAATATTATCAATAAGGTCACTAACAACAATGTATATAGACTTGTTTCATTAGAGCAAAAACAGAATTAAATTGGTGGGAAATACACGTAGAAAGAAAGGAATAACAGATGAGAACTTGCTTCTTATGAAGTGTTGCTTTTAATCACAAATTCACCAAATCAAAATTTTGCAACTGTTTACAGTAATGTTAGTGGATTTGTTTCAGCACATTTTCAAAGGAACATTTTTTTTACATAAATGTGAAGTTAAAAAAATGATTTTCACTTGTAGATTAATGTTACATTAAAAATCTTTATATGTGAAGGAGTTTTGTATTAGAAATATACATTCTCAGCTTGTAAATCCTAAGCATAAAGGTGGGAAATTACATGTAACTCTTAAGGCGCAGCTAAAGTACCACCACAATAAGGACAGTAAAATAAATCAACAACAAAAAATCATGTAAACTATATTAATCTAACTCTATGAAATAATTATATATATATTTAATTAATCCAATGCTAGGTTGATTATTTATTTCCAGAAAAAAGATGAAAAAATAAAACACAGAAAGGCAAAACTGAAAAAGGAAAAGAGAAAACCATCAGCAAGATTAAAGAGGCATCTCAGAAAATATATGAATGTATAGTCTGTACATTAGGGAGGGCTGCAAGGCAGAATAAATAATTTCTGTAGAACTGTACAGCATGACCCTTCACAAAGTAAAGTCTATTATCCAGTGAGTACAGTATATCAACATGACACATCTTGCTTCCAGATCAATAAAGATATGAAAAAGTCCCCATAGTTTATTAATTCAGGGTGTCAAACCTTTGAACAAAAGTGTATATTTTTCTTTGATAAAGAAATATAGAAATATATTATGTGAGCTGTGCAATTCAAGCTCAAGATCACACCTGCTGTTTCACTAAAATAATGATTATTTAAATATTAGGGCATGATTAGATGTATCTAAAGAAATGTAGGTAACAAATATATTTTTTGCTTCTGAAAGGCAATAGTAAGTTTGAAAAAGAAAGATAAATATTTTATTTTGATTTTAAGACTGTAATGATAATTATTTTTTATAATTGCACAATTTTATGAGGTTTAAAACATAACAGGATAAAAAATGTGTTCTGTACTTTACTCTATTTTACTACAGAGTTTTTACTGCATCATAGAACTGAATATCTGTTATTAGTATTAGAGAACAATTTGGCCTTCCGTACTAAAAAACATCTGGAAACACTGGAGATTTTCACAGTAGTGGTGGATGGCTTCCCCATTCAGGCATCAGTCCTAGTCCAGAAACCGAGAGTCATATTTGATCCTCTCTTATCTTTAGATACCAATGTGAAAAAAAAGATTAAGACCTCTTTTTTCCATCTTAGAAATATTAGCCGAATTTGACAATTTCTATAAATATCCAGTGCTGGACTGCCGATGCTCATACATGTATAACATCAAAGCTTAATTTCTGCAACTCTCGGCTCTTTGGACTCTGATATTCTCCTCAGTAAGTAAAACTCCTCAGCTGGACTGCACAGTATTCACAAAAAAACAGTGGCAGCATGCTGTCATACTCCAACTCTCTAATTCATTCATTGGTTGTTTATAGTCACATATCCAATATGAGATCCTGTTACTGACTTAAAAGGCTCTACATATTCTTGCTCCTTTATGCATTTGTGAACCCCTTTTTGTATATACTCCATCCCATAGGCTCTGTTCATCTGAGGTCTGTCCTTTGCTCCTTGCTCCTTGTAAGAGTCAGACTCTTGGTGATGTTGTTTTTTTCTATTGCTGCTCCATCTTAATGGAATGCCTTCCCTGCATCTCTTCAACAGATTCTTTGACTGTTTTGAAATCTGAACTGAAAACACATATTTTTACTCGGTCCTACATCTGATTGTGTCACAGTTCATCTAATATACTCTTATTATATTTATTTTTTATTGTAATTGTTATTAATATGTACAGCATCCTTGGGAAGGAATGGGTGCTTTATAAACACAAGTTATTATTATTAAATATTTTACTTGAACAGTCTACCTTTGTCTTATGAACTTCTTAATTTGCTCCATGACCTCCTCAGTTTTTAAGGTGTATATGATGGGATTCAGCAGAGGAGGAAGGCTTGCTGACAAAGATGTGTTGAGGATTCTGGTATCCGTGTCCACTGATAAATGTGTCCATACAATAATGTATGCTGACAAAAGAGGAATAAAAAATATAGCCACTAAAGCTAAGTGAGCTGTGCACGTTTTAAATGCTTTCCACCTCCCCTGTGCAGTTGCAATCCTGGAAAGAGCAGCTATAATACACACGTATGATAAAATAATCAAAATCAGTGGCAAAATAATGAGGGTAGCAATATAAACACTGCCTATAGTAAAACTTGCACTGTAGCTGTTGCAGGCCTCTTTGAATATTGGTCCATGATCACAGAAATAACTTTTAATGAGAGGAATGTTTTGGCAGAATGACAAGCGTGTTATAAAAACTACTGATATAAAGGGGACTATGGAAGCTAACACCCAGCAAAAACCAATTATGAAAAACATCCTGGTGTTTGTGTTGATTGTGCTGCTTCTCAGTGGAAAACAAATAGAGACGAGTCTTTCATAACCCATAACAACAAGAGCAAGAGATTCCAGAGCATAGAAATAATGAAAAAAGAACATTTGAGTTAAACATGTCTCATATGACACAAATCTTGAGTCAAAAAGGAAACAATCTATACATTGTGGAATAAGGGCTGTGCTAACACTAACATCTATGGTAGATAAATTAAAAACGGCTATGTACTTTGGTGTATGAAGACACTCTGACAGCCATATAATGGCCATTAGAATGAAATTGGCTACCAGAGCTCCCAGGTAAACAAAAGCCAGGAATATGAAATAATAGTTATTGAGCTGCAGATTCTGAAAACCTGCGATCAGAAACCCCACAGGTCTGGCAAATGTGGTGTTTTTCTCCATTGCTGGTAACTTTCGAAAGAGTTTTTCAATATCCCCCTTTTCCCTTTTTTCTAATCCTAAAATTAAAAAAAGAGAATGAAAATGAAAAGGAATGACAATACTTTAGTATTAACAATAATACAACACAAATAGAAACAAACACAGGTCCTGTTTCAGGTTCATTTGTCAGGTTTAGAGTTTGGAGTATTTTGAGGGGATATAATATGTGACCATAACATTGATCATAACATTGCCCTCATGTCTCAGTTTTTATTTACTATTTTTTAAAATAAGAATTAAGATTTTGACATAAAACACAAGCAAGGTTTAATACAAAAGCTCTATTGTAAACTTCTTTAAAGGTGCTATTTCGTACCTGATAGAGAGATGATTCTTTCTCTGTGCTGTCTCAAACTGTTTCGGCATCCTACCCTTTTATGTACAGTAACACCCTTTTATGTACCAGAGTGTACTTGTCATCACCCCATCCTCAAGTGGTATTACAATTCCTGTGTGAATGTAAGGGTGCTCTTGTATTACTAAACAAGAGCTTCATAATAATACCTTGTACTGTACGTGATCTGGAAACTAGGCTCTTGCCTTCAAAATTTATTTTGAATTCTACCAAGGGGAATACTACTTTTTTTCCTCTTAGTTAAAAAGGAAGAAATACCAAAATTCAAAAAGGTAGATAATTGTATGAAATGATGTCTTTATTGTTTTTTGTGATATTTCTCTGAGACATTTTTATAAGGGCCATACAGTAGGTGTTACAAACCCAAAAGTGAGGGCATTATGGTCCAGGGGGAGTGGCCGGCTCATTGCTGCTTGGGTGCCATACTGTCACAAAACAAGCCAGAGGCAAAACAGGGCATATCTTCAACCGAGTTCCAGAAGCGTGGCGGCTTTAGGAAGTGGAAGGGTGATGGACTGGAATGCAGGGAAAGAGTGCAGGAAAAGCAAGCGTAGGAGGGGGAGAGCCACTAGAGTTTGGGGCCGTGCTTAGTTCTACAGTGCTGTGCAGGGCTGAGGGGTTTGGTGCAGGAGTCAAGCAAGACACTCATATCTGGGCAGGCATCCAGGAGACGTACCAACATTGGGCTGAAGGGGTTCAGCGCACGCTGTCAGGGACCAGAAACCAAGCAGTCAGGGAGTCATTTGCTGAGTCCAGGTCTAAAATGGGGTCCCTGCCTCTATTCCAAATTTAACAACCTGGAGGAGCCCTGGACAGCATAGCCATGAGCAGAGCTCCCAGGCGGAGCCCAGGCAAAGCACTGAAAGTAAAAACTGGGAAAAGGTTCCACTGTGATGCTGGAAGGTGGAATGAAGCATGAATGGTACTGTAAACATCAATGCCAGGTCGCCGAGGAGAGACAGAGCAGGGTTTAAATACCCCATAGCTGTTGCTGCTTCTGTAAGAGTTCTCACTACAGCCAACCTCTCTGCCTAAGTTGTCTTCATAGTGATCATGGCAGATGTTGTACCTGTAACAATAACTGACTGCATATGTGTTCAGACCCTTTGAGTTAATATTAGGCAGAGGCATGTTTGACAGAAAATATAGCCATGAGTCCTCTAGGATAAGTCTCTACCAGCTTTTCACATCTGGACACTGAGATTTTGCCCATTCTTATTTTCAGAATTGCTCAAGCAAGGAGAATGAAGAGGTGAGGTGGTCCGCCATAACTCAAGCTTCATTAAAACAGAAAGGCAACAGAAGGATACAGCCAAGGAGAATGAATGGAAACTTTACCCATTCGACACACCCTCAAGCCAGCCAAGCCTATGACTAGGCTGTTGCTCACCCCATTACTGACACACAAAGTCCCCATAACGGCTAATGAAACCCCGATACCCAGAACCAACACACAATTCCCTCCTCCCACTATTTACAGCTTGCAGTTCTTAACAGTGCTCCTAGGGGGAGCCCCTTTGTAATGGACACTACAATATTCTTTCCTCTGACTTACACAGCGTAGAGTTGCTATAAAGAAAGATGATTAGATCAGCCCGTGGACCACCTGGTGCACACTCCCAGACCACTGGTGGTCTGTGGACCACACTTTGAGAATCACCAATCTAGACCATTGTTCCAGGACTAAATTTATACGCAAAGTAAACACAAATAGTACTGAGATAAGAATCTTATTGTAAAGGGTTGAGCTGAACCTAAAATAGATTCACAAGCCAATTGTCTTGTGGATGTGGATTTATTCCCACTGAACTAAAATGAATTAAAATCCTCACAGAAAAGGGTTAAGCAGGGACCCAACACTTCCCGTTTGTGA